CCCGTGCCACTGGAAGCCGTGATTTAAATTTCCTGCTGCTGCTGCTGCTGCATCTGAATTGGCACAGCAGGGACAGAGAGGCGAAAGCTCTGAGAGTGGGAATCGGCAAACGAAATTGAGAGCGGAACTGGCGGGGAGGCCTGCATCGACCTGTAGTGAGTGACAGGAACAGGGACCCCTCCATAGACTAGGAGGCTCCAACACATGACATTCTGGGACCGGGCAGACTAGCCAGAACAGGACGCTGCAGTGACTTTAGTCGCATATTCCCCTCTCAAGCGGATTGGTGGAGAGTGCTTAGCCTGGTGACGCCGCGGATTAAGATCCAGTAGGCTAGCCCAAACCAGGTCCCAGCAACTGGCGGTGCACCCTAGCAGTGAAGCCTTCAGTAGGTTGACCTGGAGGGGTGGGCTCAGCAGAGGCTGCCCAGGTCTGTGTCTCCCTAGTACACTGCAGTGGGTGGGAATACCTAGCTGGCAGATTCAAACAAACTGTAACAGACAAAGAGAAAAAAAAAACTGGGCCTCCTATATACGCTTGTATGGAAAGAACAAAAAGTATGGGAAGAGGGAGCAATAAGAAAGGGTCCTCAGTCCCCAATCCTGAGAACACTGATCCAGGAAAGGTAAATGCAAAGGAGAATGAAGACAGAAAACATGCAATATCAGACATGGCACCAATAGACATAAAGCGGTATCTCTGGAGCCTCATAGATGAGTTCAAAAATGAAGTATTTAATGAAATAAAGCAAGAAATAAGTAGAATATTTAGAGAAATGCTAAGCATCGCCCAAGAAAAAACAGATGGTGGAATGGAAGAACAGAAAAAAGGGGAGAATTGTTTGATGGAGAAAATAGAGAAAACATAGAATACATGAAGCAGGTTCAAAGAGATTACCAGGAAACTAAAAACTCTATTAAAAGCTGGCATAACAGTTTGAAAGAAACTAAGGACAGATTATCTGAACTGGAGGACAGATTTGTAAGGTGGGAGCATGAAATGAAAAACTTCTTAAAAATAACAAAGAAACAAACAGCAATAACACAAAGGCTAGAAGATGATAAGAGGATCTATAACTTAAGAATTAAGAACATAAAAGAAGAAGTAGGGACACAAACAAATGGACTACAAAAGCTATTCACAGAAGTAATCCAGGAGAATTTCCCTAATTTAGCAAAAGGTAAAGATACTCAGATGTATGAGACATACAGGACCCCAGCCACCTACAACCCAAACAGAGCTACACCCAGGCATATAATAATCAAAATTCCAGATATCCAATATAAGAACAGAATATTAAAAGCCATCAGAGACAAGAAACAGGTCACTTACAAAGGAACACCCATCAGAATTACAGCAGACTTCTCGGCACACACCATCAAATCTCAGAGAGTGTGGGGGCAAATAATTACAGCTTAGAAAGATAATAACATCCAGCCAAGATTGATATATCCTGCACAACTGTCCCTAGAAATTGATGGAAAAACAAGGTGCTTCCAGGATAAAGAGGAACTAGGGGAATTTGCAACCACCAATTCAACTCTACAGAGAATACTGCAGGACATTCTAAAAAAGAAAAATACCAAGATTCCAGAATCAGTGGCAGAGAGGCCACAATGAATGGAGCAGAAAGCAAAATGAAGAAGACAAACTGACAACAAACGACAGAAAAAGAGCTCAACAGAAATGAGGCAGAAAAGGTTGGATGGTAGGAACAGCTATTTTGGAGAAAACAAGACAACAGAATAGCTAGTGCTGATTTAATATCATCTTGTTTTGAAGTCCCATCAAGCTTTTGTTCTTCTGTCTCCATCGGTCTTAACATGTTGTATCTTACTGGATTTTATTATATATGAGAATATAAACAAAAACTTTTATAGACAAGGAGATTATACAGAAACCATTGTTCATTTTCTGTTAGTTGATTCTAAATACCCTGTAATACTGTCATTCTCTTGAATGGTTTTACATTGTCTTGATATGTTTGATGCTACAGTATACAAAGTTATACTCAAAGATTTCAAGGAAAGAGACACTATGGTAACTACTTTTATGTTGGGATTATCTTATGGTAAAACACTATTTTGCTTAAATGGTTATATTTTGTCCTGCACTGTTTTGTTGTTATACCCTCTTTTATCTCAATCTCATTTTTTTATTATTTACTTTTTCATTTTTATCCTTTTAATTAAGGGAAAAATAAATAAAAAATAGCAGGATATATTATAGTAACACACTTTGATTTCCTATTAACTTGATTTGAAACCCTGTATTGCTCTCACCATCTTGTTTTGACTGATTTTCCTCTATTCTGTTTTGTTTGATAGTACCAAGGTCGAAAGTATAGGCAAAAACTATGAAGTCAATAAAATTCATTATGACACCCATTCTGGTTGTCTATTATCTTCTTTTGAAGTCCTCTAATGTCTCCAATGTTTTGGTTTTATTGGTTTTGTTCTTTACTATTTGTTCACTTTTATTATAACTGATGATATAGGCAATTCTTTTTAAGATAGCAAGAGGCATTATGGTAACCATTGTTGATCACTTTGTATTTTGTTTTTACATTATGTATTATGTCCATTCTTTTGATTTGACTGACTCTGTCCTGTTATGTCACATTTGGTTTTACTCTCTTCAAAAAAAAAGTAATAAGAACAGTGGGAGTAATAAAACCCAAAATGTATAATTGTCATTGTACAAAAGAGAGGAGAAGAAATTGCTCTAAAGGACATAATTGCATGTATATTTAAGTGTATGATAGATATCCATATTACTGAGTTTTGTTGGATCATTGAACAGAACTGTTTGCAGTCTCACTGTTTGAATGTCCACTCTATATGCTTTAATTTTGTAACTTGAACAACTATTTCTAAGATGACAATATGTAATCTACTAACTAGTGATTTCCTTCTGTTTATTTTTTCTAAAATTCTTATAACTTGTACCCTTTTTGTTTTTTTTTTCTTTTTTCTCCTTAAAATTTAAAAAAAAAGAAACAGAAATTTAAGAGCAAAGGAAAGAAAAAAGGAAAAGGAAACAAACCAAATCCCCTAATTACGAAAAAAATGAATTAAAAATTTCTCTGTGTTTTTGAATAAGCGGTTTCTTTCCAGAGTCTTTAGTATTAGAACCTGCCAGAGCTGAGAGTGAGGTGGAAAGTCACTTCTAAGACCTATTTGGTTTCCACACTCACGTTTTTGGGTGCGATGCTGAACCCTGCCCTGTCCTGCCTTTTCCTCTAGGTATGGCTGGTTACTGGTGTGTGACTTAGGGTTGTACCCACCCACCCTGGCCATTCCCACTTTCTGTGTCACTGTGTGCACTATAAGTCATGGCCTCTGCCCTGCCCACCTCTAAGAGCTGTCCGCTTATGTGCTCCCTTAGAAGCCCTCTGCCTGCACACTTGAAGCTGCAGCAACCATTTAACCCAGGGTGTATCCCTCACGTCACCAGAAACAGGTCTCTGGGGAGGTCAGCTTTCCACACTGAGTTGTTCTTTCCTTGGCTTTGTGCTCTCTTTTTCCAGCATCTCTGCACTTTCTAGTTCTGTTGTGTGTGTTGCTGGTTTGTTTGTCAGCTTCTCCTGACACCAGGAGATGTACTTCTTTTTTCTCTTCACCAAGTTATTTTACAGATGTCTCAATCTCAGATCCTGGAGAGGCTGCATCACCTGCACTTTCTCAAGTAGATCGGAAGTGCTCTTTCATGAGTGTCTTTAACTGTGCTTTGATGGCTACCTCCATGTCCTGAATTGATTCAAAACATTTACCTTTCATGGTCTTTCCAATGTGGGGAAGACCTAGAAGTCACGTGGTGTAGCAGGCCACCCCAACTCCAATGTTCTGATGAGCCTGCCTTTCTGTTGGATGTCATTCAGCAGCAACACTCACTGTACTTTTGATCACTGCTTTAAAGACTCTCATAAAAAGACTTCCAGAACTGCTTCAGAAAAGTGATAAGAACAATGAATGGAACAAATATGCTCAAAGTCAGGGAGAATATTTTGAGGGGGGTTAAGGGCGAGGTGTGTTTTACTGTAATAAATTTTTAAAATTTAAACATTCACTGTATAGGGGAGAACTACCAGCAGCTCCTGAGATCCACGCCATGTTGGAACTTAGGACGCTGGGAAACCAAGCAAGCAGCTCCTCTCCCTGGTAAGCGGTGGCAGTGTGGCAGACTGTGGCCCTTCCAGGGGGAGAACCACCAGTATCTCTTCAGATCCATGTCACGTTGGAACTTAGGATGCTGGAAAACCAAGCAAGCCGCTCCCCTCCCTGGTAAGTGGTGGCAGTGTGGCAGACTGTGGCCCTTCCAGGGGGAGAACCACCAGTGTCTCCTGAGATCCGTGTCATGTTGGAACTTAGGACCCTGGAAAACCAAGCAAGCAGCTCCCCTCCCTGGTAAGTGACTGCAGTGTAGCAGACTATACTCCTCTAGGGGGAGAACCACCAGTGTCTTTTGAGATCCACACCATGTTGGAACTTACAAAGCTGGAAAACCAAACAACCACCTGCCTCCCTGCTAAGCAATAGTGAACCTACTGGTGCACGGCCTAGAATCAAACATCCCACTTCCCCTACTCCCCTTCTCCTGTCCTCCCATTAGCAAATGGGAACCAGAAATCTGAGCATCTCCTGGGAGGTTGACCATAGCAAATAAGGGGGATTTCCTTCTACCATCTCTTTGAAGACAAATATTTTTTATTACTGTTTTGCTCTATTCTGATTAATAGTACTACTCTATTCAATATTCTGTTTTGATAAGTTCAAAAAGAAACGTTCACTGTATATTGATTATCACTTGTATCAATAGCCTATGTTTAAGACATTTTAGACACTAAATTTATGTTTACCATTGTATTTGTAAACAATAAATTATACCACAGTCTTCTCAAATTAGTTGTCAAATAGTTAAAAAAAAAAAAAAACTCACGAAACCTCTTTGGTGATGCCCTCTTTGTACTGCCCAAAAACAGCCACCCTCAGGCCTCTCACCTGACATGGTAGTGTGGGTCTTGGCACCACCAAGCTCCTCCTGGGTGACATCCTCATTGGTGACAGACTTCACCACATCAGGGCCAGTGATAAACAGGTAGGAGGTGTCCTGAAATCAGATTTCCATAACAGTCACCCTCAGGTCACCAGAGCTGCACAGACTTAAGAGTCTGCTCAGCCAAGAAGAGAAATGCAGAGAAGGCTAACACATAGCTGGGCTCAATGCACCTATCCAAACTAAACACTCAGGTTTTCCAGGCCTTGTTGTCTACTTAAAAATAAAATCTTTGTTGCACAGTTCTATCTCAGGAAGTTAACACACAGGGCAGTTAACATCCCAGGATCACCCATCTGACAAACACTGTAACACATGGCCCTGACAACTGCTGTGTACTGAGTGCTCCCCTAAACACTTCATGGAATTGTGTCATTAAAACCTAGATGCTATTATCACCCCATTTACAGATAGGGAAACTGAGGCACCAAAATGGTATGCACTCCATCACTTTAAGTGAAGCCACTCTAAAGACACTGATGTCAAAGCTTTAGTGTTATGAGAGGGGGTGACAGGGTTTTCATTTTCAGTTTCTAATTTACAAATAACATAGCACATAAATTAAAAATTTTATACAGAAGATCAGGGGACACTGTGGAAAGTAAGTCTATGTTCCAGCCCGTATTTCCAAACTTCCATCCATCCTCCTCTATGAAACAAATACTGTTAGTTTCATACCTATTTTTACAACACACTCATGCATACATGAGCATATATTTTTTTCTCATTCTCTTATAAACAGTTCCTTTTCAACCCAAATACTTTTCTATAATGGAATCACTTTTCTCATAAACACTTAGGCTCAAATTCCCTTCTATTAGAGCATAATACTACAGCTTACAAATAATTTCATATCAGCATAGTGGGACATGTATCATAACTGAACAACTGAAATTGTTTCTAGTATTTTACTAACACTCAATTCTACAATAACTAACTTAATAACTTACTACAGTCACCTCTATAAACCATTTTCTGCTCATTTTTCTAAAGGACAATTGGCTTTTTATACTGTCATGGTTTGCAACTAAATGTCCCCATGCCGTCATGCAGTCATGAGCAAGAGCTTTTCAGAGGTAGCTGAATCTAGAGTTTGTGATTGATTCATGGTACAATACTGGTATTAGGGGTATGGGTGCCACACCCACCCTATGGAGAGTAAACTCCATACAGGCCTGTCCCTTTCTTTTCTTGCTCACTTTTACTGCCTTCCTTTGCCATGAATTGTGGCCCTCTGTCATGAGCCACCCTGCCTTGGAGCCACTTGACTATGGAACCTTCCACAAAGTGTGAGCTAAATAAACCTTTCCTCCTTAAACATTAGGTGTCAGATATTTTGTCTTAGCAACGAGAAAATTGTATATATATAATATAATATTCATTAAAGAAATTATTTTATCACTCTTTTCTCTTATGGCTCCTTGTTTGGGATCCTGTTAGAAAACCTCTAGTTAGAAAGGTCTTTCCCATTTCACAAAAAGATTTCTAAATTAATATTCATAGCAGTATTATTTATAACGATTAAAAAACTTGAAACAGTAAGTAAAAAGTTGAAGGAACTGAAAAAATTCAACAGCTCCTAGATCCAGAGAGCTGGATTCCAAAACTGGGAGCCTGACAGGCAATGCAAAGAATTCATACTTGCCTGAGCGGAAATTCATGAGTACAAATACCCAGCAGAGCCAGAGTTTATGTAAGGAATGGTGAGTCATGCCTGGCAAGTTACTGGAGGCTTGATGTGGACAATCTGAGAGATAAAAACTCCACACAGGCCTAGTCATTAGAAACCTTACATTTTTGTGAGTTTTGCCTCCAGGAACTTGACCACAGTCAATGACTATTTGAGAAGAATTTTATTACTGTTTCAAGCTAGAATGTCCTCCAGAAGCCTCACATGTTTAGAGATGGGGCTGCGGGAAGGTACTTGGATCATGAGGGCACTATTAATCCACTGATTAATCCACAGCAAGATGTGTGGGTAGGAGGTGGGGCTTGGTTGGAGGTGAGACACGAGGGCAAGACTTGGAAAGCTGTATCTCTTTCCCTGGCTCTTTTCTCCTCTCTCTGCTTCCTGGCTGCCATGACATGAGCAGTTTTCGTCTGCCATACCCTTCTGCCATGCTGTTTCTACCCTGAAGCCAGGCGACCAAAAACTGAAACTGCGAGCCAAAATGATTCTCTCTGCCTTCAATTAGTGGGTGTTAGGTAGTATTTTCTGCAACACAAAAATGACCAAGATAAACCCTCTCTTGCTTCAGGCTTGGCGAGGAAAATGAGACCATTTCCAAGAACACCAGAGCATTGTATTCTTATCAACACTTAGAAGCTAACCTACTGCAGTTTCACTAGAGGGTGACCTAGGAAAGAAGAACACCCAACTCCTTCCATGCAGGAAAAGGGAAGTATTCAAGTCCAGCCCCCTCTAGCCATCCTGTTCCACCAAAGGAGGTCAGAGGAGGGCACTGAGAAGCATAGGTGAAATCAAAGCCCAGAAGTACAAATTCACTAAAAGATTGAAATCTACTCAAAGGACTAAAGTACACTTCCCTCACCCCATTCCTAAAGGCTATTGATAATAATTCCTGCCACTCAGTTTATCACATCAGCTCTCGAGAAAATACGATATATGCAAAGACAAAACACACAAGTTGAAAACAGAACAACAACCATGTCATGCACATTCAACTAAGACTAAAAATCTAAAACAATTCTGAGCAATATACTGAGTTCTCGCATGGGCAGCTATTTCAAAGATAACAAGATATGGTAGCCATTATTTATTTCCTATTATTTTGTTTTGAAATCTTGTATCACTTTTATTGTTTCATTTTGATTGGTTTCATTCTATCCTGTTTTGTTTGATTTTACTATATCTGATGACATGGGCAGCTATTTTGAAGACAAGAGGCACTATGATAGCCACTGTTGGTATTCACTTTCACTGTTTTGTTTTGATTGGCTTTATTCCGTTTTATTTTGTTTTGCTTTATTCTGTTTAAAATTAAAAAAAAAAAAAGATACTGAGTTCTCTCCCAGCATTTAGAAAGCTGAGGCAGGAGGATCATAGCAAATTCTAGGTCATCCTGGGCCTCACAGTGAGTTCAAGACCAGCCTGGACTACACAGCAAGACCCTATCTCAAAACACCAAAATAATCATCATCATCATTCTCCTCCTCATCATCATCAACTAAGAGTTCTCATGGATATAGTATATAGCATTCAAGAACAAATATACAGTATAAGCATAGAAATGAAAATTCTAAGAAAGAATCAAAAAGAAATACCAAGAGTCAAAATATTATAACAAGGGCTGGGGGGTTAGCTCAACAGCATAAGTGCCTGCTTGGCAAACGTGAGGCTGAATTCCATCCCTGGTACATAAAAAAAAAAAACTATAACAGAAAAAATGCCTATGATGTGATTTTGTTAGCCTGAGCATTCCTTAAAAAAAAGAAAATAAAATCTTAGTTTGAAGATATCTTACACACACACACAGATATCGAACACCAAAATTAAAAAACACCTAGCAGGGGCTGGGGATTTAGCTCAGTGGCATAAGCGCCTGCCTTGCAAGCAGGCAGTCATGAGTTCAATCCCTGGTACAGATAAAACAAAAAAAAGACGAAACAAAACAACAACAACAAAAAAACCACACCTAGCAAAAAGAGTAGAAAATAGCCAGCACAACACCCAAGAACTATGCAACATGATAAAATTAAAAAAGTAAGATGTACGTTAGTGGAAATTTCAAAAGGAAAAGAAAGAATAAAATGGTAGAAATAATAATAACTAAAAATCTCCCCAAACTGTCAGAAATCATATCACAGATCCAGTAGGTTCACAAAGCATGGAGTAAGATAAACATCAAGAAAACTGCCATAAGAAGCATCACCCTCAAACTACAATAAAATCAAAAATTTTTTTAAAAACATAATAAAGCCAGATTGGGGTAAAAAAAAAACACTTCAGCTATGGAGGACCTAAGATAAGAAGTCCATTCGATGTCTTTCAAAAACTAAGTAAACAAGAAGACAGTACCACTAATTCTATTAGTTCTTTGAAAGGAGCAATTAATGCTTATACTGTTTGATCAATTTTGCATGCCTGTATCTGGTAATCTGAGCAACTAATTGAAAGATAATAGTATGCAATATAGTAACTATTGATTTCCTATCATCTTGTTTTGAAACTGTATCATTTTATTGAGTTTTTTAATTCTCTTTAAAATAAAACTTTTTAAAAAAGAAAGTAAAATGCAGTATTTAGTGTTGAGCAAAAATAAAAAATTCACATCATTAAACAAATACAAAGGATCTTAAAGCTTCTCAGAGAGGAAATATAAGATATAACTAAGAATTACACAAACAGAGGACCTCGGTGGGCCAGTGAGAGCCCAGGTGAGCCCTCTCCCAACCCAGTGGACCCTAGTGAGCCTGCCAGAGTGCCCATGAGTCCTTCCTCCACATGGAGGACCTCGGCAGGCTGGCTAGAATGTCAGTGAGCCCTCCCTACGCCTGCAGGACCCTGGGTGGGTCTGCAAAAGCACCAGTGACCACCCCCTTCCATCCGCAGGAACCCAGGCAGTTCTGTGAGTCCTACAGTGACACAGTAGGGCCCCAGATGGACAGGTATGTTGAGCAGCCTGGAAAAACCTGAAGCAGCAGTAACAATGCAAGCCAAAGGTTGGTCCACATTAATACTCCTTGGCTGGTCAACCCAGGAGAATCCGGAACTCACCCAACTGACCCCGCAGGAGGAATTCAGGTGGCTGGTCCCTCCTCTACACAGTGGGATTCGGTGGCAGGGGGAACATCAGCCACAAAATAGGACCCTAAGACACATATAATGGACAGGCAAAACAAGCAAAAGTAAAAGGACAGAAATATGAAAAAAGCGACAAGGCAAAAAAGCAAAATCAATCTCAGACCTCCAGTCCATTCATAACAAGTACAGAATCATTGACATAGAAGACACCGCAAATCACACCCCTGAAACTTCTGAAAAGATAGCAAGTAAAGGAAAGAAAGAAATCCACAAGGCTTAGAGGAAATCA